CTGAGCCTTATATACTCCGCGGCATAATGGCTCAGTTACTTTCGCTGCACCTCATCGTCCGTATTATACTTGTGCGTCTCGTTTTGCATTTGCAAAAACGTGCTCGCGCCAGTGCCGGGATAACGTACGGGAAATTGTGCGCGCTTCACGCGCTTCTACCCGTCCTCTAATCGCCTGGTGATCTCTGCCACCGTTTTCATCGCGATTCGTCCAAATTGTTCCATTAGATTTGCTTTTAAGATAACGTCAGGTTCCACTGAACGCGTCGATTCCAGGATATTGTTTCGCGATCGACAAGTAATTAGGCAAACTGCCGAAACGTTTAACGGTGTTTCGAGCGCGGTTTTCAACAGCAGCGGGGATATTTATGCGTCGATTCGAGCTGAATGAAATTTGTCCGTCGTTGTGTTGAATATTTTTATTCGAGCAGTGTTCATGAAAATTATTCCAGTGTTCTGTTGTTTCCGGCATGATTTTCGATGGTAGAGAATTGAAGATTGGGTGTGGAAAAGGGTGTAAGTGCTGTTGGATTTATAAAAGATTTTTAAATATTGCGCGGCAATTGAAATACTGCTGTATTATTGGCTCTTGCAGCATTTTTAAGGTCAATCTTCAATTGTCTCTGTATATTCTCGGTTCGAGAATTTTATGAAAATATTTGTTGTGTTTTATTGCTGATCTCGGAGTTCAATCTCCGTCGATTTCACCCGGCTGATTGTTCACGCTGATTACTAAGCTGTTCTCCTAATGAATTAAGTAGTAGATTTTTTGTAATACAAAGTTGATAATTGTTTAATTACAATAATCTTCTTTCGTTTTCTTTTGAAACTAACTCCACCGAAGCCACTATGTCGTAATACTGTTTTTAACGTCGAGTTTCAAACGCGGTGCGTTATTATCGAGATTTTGCCTAGGAAAGCGTGTCATCAATTAAAAAAAAAGGATTTCAATATGACATAAAACGATTTATTTCTCAATTTTCATTCGATTGTTCAATTTTCAAATAGTTTAGAAATATTGCAAAAACTACAGCAATCACACCTTTCAGTATCTACCAGTTTAAATTCCAAATTTACGAAAGTATTACTATATTCAACTGAATTCTATTCTACTTCAAAATTTCAACTCAGTTCTTAAAAAACAGTGCGAATAGTTTAAATATGCAATTTTATGAAAACGAGAAAGTGTTTTTGGTAGGGGCTGAATAATTTAATTTGAATTTATCAAAGTTATAATTTATCCAAATTTCTAGTTTCAATAAACGAAAATTAAAGTTACACAATCGTTTGATTAAAAAAAAAAAGAACTTGTCCCCTACCAAAAACGTTGCAACTTTTCCGCATTCCATTTCATCCTACAGCACTCGGACGTAAGATCCTCCATTTCGCATTTCGACAATCATGCTACATCCTTTCTCCTCCGGTATTCGCCCTATTTCTCCTCTCTTCCGCTCGTAAAAAATACACGCGTTCTCGTGGCAGGATCGGCAAATCGTGACCCATTTCTCTGCCTAACAAGCGGGCATATCTAATGGGTTTTTGATTATTTAAGGCGTGCAGCACGTCGTAGATTATGCGCCATTATTATTACATCGCGGACAGCGGCGTGAGGCGAATTGAAGGAAGTTGACGTTCACGCAAGCGTGATTCGCAGCCAGGCAATCGAGATTTCCTTCGTCTGTTTGACGCCGCGAAATTCTAGCACGCGTGACAAGTCCACGCGTATCCTCTCCGCGATCTCGCCGTACTTTCGCATGCTCGATCGACAG